CTTTATCTCACCATCATCGTTTTGACTTTCGTCTGAGTGACCATCGTCAGGATAGTCTTTTCCACTCTCATCAATATCCATAACATCGACAGAAAAGAGGTCATTATTGTCAAATTCATGATGTGAATATGACTTTATATCCACAACTTCTTCAGGAAATAAGTAGTGTCGAGGAATCTCATTCGTCCATGGCTTTAAAAGCGTTTCTTCACAGTCAAGACAAACATGAAAGGACACGTCTTCTGGGCTGTCGATTTCATTCATTTTGCTCGAATAAACAATTCCTTTTCGTGAAAGTAGCAAGTCGACAAAAACCGGATGTATGTCTTTGCAATCGTAGAATTCAATCAAACCATCAGATAGGTTTGGTTCCGTATTTCTTAAACGAGCTGCCATAGACTGGAGAATTTCAGTGTCCTTTGTTGAATATACATGGACGTTTGTTGTAAACACAACACGATCACATACGCAACAAACACATTGATCCATACCCGTGGGGCCCAAAGCAAACGCCAAATGATTAAGAATATCCTTTTTCATGTCTTCAGAGCAAGGCGGAAGGTATCCAGACTCATCCATTGCTTGACATTCGGCATCTGTCAACTGAGCGGCATTGGCCTTGTTCAATTGGGAGCGACGATAAATTTGTCTTCGACGTTCAAGTCTTTTCTTTCTGGCGCTTGATGACTCCAAGTGAATAAGCATCTTGATTTGCGCACTTCTATACTGTAGACGCTTCAATTTTGCGCTATAAAGTCCGCTCTCTCTCTTTCCAGCTTTGATCTTCTTTTGATAAACCAGCCAGTTCAGACTTACTTCACTTGTCTCCATAGATCGCTGAACTGCCTTTTGTGACATCTCAACATCCAAACGAGTTCTTCGGGCATCGGTAGTTACTTTTGCCAGCTTGGCAACTCTCTGGGCGGTAAGCTTGTCTCGACGAAATCGACGCGCAACTAACGTCTCCATCGCTCTCTGAGCATCCCTTCGAGCTTTTTGATTATCAAGACGCTTTCTATGAGCTTCAGGGGTTTCCATGCCTCTCAATCCTGCCTTTCTGATATTGAGATTTCATGTCGCTCGAGATTTGGTTCACAGGATTTAATGTTTTTGATTTTGTGATCTCTAAGCTTTTGTGCATCGAGACGTTTTCTGTGAGCTTGAGGGCTTTCAATGCTCCTTAGCTCCATTACTCTAAAGTTTGCTTCACGGAGACGAATTGTTCGTTCGTGCACAGTTTCAATTTCTTTTTGGAGACATCTTTGACGAGTTTTTTTCCATTTTGCGCTCTCTCTTTGACGATGAGATATGGTTGTCGTAACGCTATCTTCTTTTTGATCGTTTTGTAGGTCATTTTCAGTTTCTGTTGGTATTGTCGTGTTGGGATGAACTGCCTAAAATCATTCACATATTAGTATATGATGATAGTAAATGCACTATGAGTTAAACTGAACTTAACTATTCTAAACAATTTGAAATTCATTCTTACTTGGATCAAATTTAGTTGTTCATTTTTTAGTCTCTTTTGATTAGGCTTTTTGATTTGCTCCATGTCTTTTGGTAATGGAGTCTAAACGCACATATTAATTTCCTTCGAAAATTAATATCATCAAATGCCTTTATTTGATAATATTCAGTTTTCGAGATAAAACTCCTAAAATTAATACTTTTGAAAATCGGCGATGTCGGCTCCTGTTTTTCAGTGATCGAAGACACCACAAAGATCGGAAACAGCGCAAAAAATGGGAGAGTCGAAGTCTTCAGGGGTAAACAGTCCAACAAAATAATCCACACAAACTCGACTTCTGTCTGACAGTTTCGTTTACTCGATTACCACCCTTCAAGGAATGTAAAGACAATAGTATTGGATTATTGCTTAAAGCAACCTATCCCAACCACTAAAGCGATCACAAACAGTGGTTTTAACGAGAACAAACCTCGTCGACTAGTCGCGTGCAGAAAATCACGAGTTTCCGCCGGCCAGAAGCACCAGCAGTTTGCGGGTGCAACAAAAACCAAAAATGAGATCAGTCAGGTATCAAATAGAAGCTGGCTCTTGTTCGAAATATGCTATAAAAGAAAATTTATAAAAATCACGCTTCTCACTCACACAACATATGCCACAAAGAAATGACGAAATAAAATTTGTCGTATTTTTATAAATACAAAGATCAAGTCAAATCGGGACAGACAAGAAATTTCAAAATAATTTGTGGTTTTTCAAATTAAACGACTAATTCATATTAGTTCTCTCAAAAATTCAAAATATTTCGACATTTTTATTGCCGTAATTTCATTCATTTTAATAAAAAGAAGCAATCTATGTAAACGAAGTATGTGAAATAGAGAAAGATAAAATAAATACGATTGGCATTTTTATCTATTTTGTCACAAGATATGCCGCATATGAACGAGATTACAAGAGACATACTGAATCCCATCCAAAATCTTCACCCTAACGCAGTGGAGACTGCGAATAATCGTAGAACCGCCAATCAGAAAGGAGAAAGGTGTACCGGATTGTCGTCGGGCAAGATCCGAGTGTAAAGACACCAATCCGAGTGACAGATAATCCGAGCGAGAAGGTATAAATCCATGTCCATCCAGGGCTTTCCAATCGGACCAGGATTTTCATTGCACTAGACGGTAAGTTCGGCTTGGTCGAGGCAGTTGAACAGGAGTCGTAGATTAGCCAGTTGGTCGTCTAAAGTCCGACCAACCGTCATGTGACAGTTGACGCCATATCCCCACAGACTAAATGTCAAAACTCCTGATTTGACTCAAAAAGGCCCGATTTGAAGCCTAAATAGGCCGATTTGCGGTTGCTCAGATAGGACCAGGAATAGCCAGTTCGTTCGCCAAGCGACAGGGAGGACACGAAGTGTGTACTTGGGCATTGTGCAAAATGTCGGAGACTCCTCAGCGCGCACCAGCCGACTTGGTCAATGACGCGGTCAAGAGAATGGGATCTCTGTCCAAGCTCCTGTGTCCTATCCAGCGGGATCTTGAGAATTTGGCTGTGTTCCTGGCCGAGCGGGAAAAGGACGACAGCGTCGTGCCGCGCAAAGACTACGACGCCATGAAGCTCGATCTCGAAGGACTCAAGAAGCAGGTCTCGGAGCTGTCCAGCGTTCATACGACAATGAAAACAAAGATCGACACACTGATAACCGAGAAGAAAGATCTCCAAAAGCAAGTCCATGAGCTCGAGAAGGAATGCCAAGAGATCGACCAGATTCGGATCCGCATGGAGCGTAACATGTCCGAGCGCGACAACTTGAGGGCCCAGAAATCCGGGTGGGAGCGCGAAAACATGACCTTGGGGCACCGGTTTTTGAATTGGTTGTTGAGAAACCACTCCGTGAGCTCCAGTGCTGCCGCCGATTCTGCTTTGCGGTCCTGGATGCACGACGAGAAGATCTTGGAAAACAGCAGCGCAAAGTCGGATTTCGAATCGTCGAATGGTTTTACTGTTTGCCCCGGAAATCCGAGCGGAGTTCCCCGACAGTTCGCTTTGCCAGAACCCCCGTCGAAGCAACCAGATCCCGACAAGGATTCAGGCTCCAAGGATCCTTCGACCGGGGAAGACCCCCCATCAAGCAGCACTCCAGCACTCCAGCCGAATCCGCGCGTAAACCAAGCCCGAAGGGGAAATCCGTTTTGAAGGTGAAGATTTCCGACATTTCAAAGAAGCGCTCAGGGTGCGAATCGGCTCGGACTCGACGAAACGTTCTCGCAAGGACGCGTCTCCGAAGAAAACCCCGCCGAGTACTCTATCAATCAAGTATATGCTCGGATCCGACACGGATGAGGAAGCTCTCGCGCAGCCAGGCGATACGGGCAAGTTGATTCGCGAAATCCGAGACGTATATGCCGACGTCTACCGGACGAAGCCATGGCGACGATATTTGTCAGCGACCGGTTCATTTCTCCCCGACATCCCGGATTCTCGCCCCAGCCATCCTCGACACGCTACATCCGTAGCGAAATTCAACGAGGTGTTGACGGATTTTTGGCAGCGAAGTGCGGAAGACGTTTGGACTCGGATGTTTATGACGTCGGCGAAGATGGACACAAAGGCCTGGGGGCGATTGGTGTACCGTCTGACAAGACTCGTTGCAGAGTTGTATATCTTGATCACCCCCCCAAGTACCTCTGAAATCTTGGTCGTGTCCGCTAGGATCGACCTTTGCTCTTCTCCGAAACAAGACGCCGGGAAAATCAGTGTCCCAAGTCGTGGCCAAACGGATTTTCGAATCCGCTCCGGAAGTTTATGACAAATTCGCCAAGGCGGATCTGGCAGGCCATGTCAATATAACCAAGGAAGCCATTGAGGCCGTATGCAAGGTCGCCGCTGATTATGTCGACGAGCCAGGATACGCTTACAAACCAGACACTATGTTGCCGTTTGTGACCGTGCGCCCCAAATCCGAGCCGGATACGCCTGAGCAGTGGTTTGGGAAAAGATTTTATCCCCATACCAGTTATTTCTGGGACGGAGTCTCCGACCCAGCTTCTGGGAAGTCCAGCAGGACGTCAGTCGAATCGAAGAGTCTGGCAGCGATGAAGACGGCGCTGACCAAGGGAAAGAAGCGTCCGGCGCCGACAACGAGTACGAAGAAATTGCTTGAGAGTTTCCATTACTCCACTGAGTCTTCATAATTTCGTATAAGTCTTTTTGTTTGAAAATCCAAGTTCGGGTGAAAGGTTCAATTCACAGTTCGACTTTCCACAACAGAGTCCAAGTTAGTCAACAACAAAAATCCACGTCCGAGTGTCCCGAGTCGGACCAGATTCGGATGCATGATTTCACAATTTTCGCCAAAGTCGTACTCCAAAGGGAGTTGCGCGTCGCAGACAATCAAATGAAAGGAAGACAAAAGCGACTTGGACTTGATTTGAATGGATAGCATGGCGTTGCGACTTGATTATTGCACCCCTCCATTTCCGGATACAACCCCACTTCATACGGATATTCTGGTGTACCGTAATATACCAGATAGCGCATCCGTGGAATTGAACCCGGGACCTTCGGGACGAAAGTCTGACGCCTTGACAACTAAGCCAAAGCGCCTTTTTCCATCCGAGTTCGGAGTGTCCACTAACACTACTTCCAAATTCGAGTCTAATTCCAATCTCCAGGCGATCAACCACGTCTCGAAATCCAGGTATAATGAGTATCAAAGTGTAAACCAATCCATACAAGTAATATAAGTTCCATGTCCGAGCCGGATTCCAAGCTTTGAAGTCCGAGTCGGAATTTGGGTAATCAATTTTAAAACAATGTCGTATCGTCAGGTTCCACGTCCATTTCCGATAATCTTTTGCTTCTTGGTAAAGATGGTAATCCGGATTCGGAACGTCTCTTATTTTCAAATTCCGCGACGAATGACGGGTAAGCGCGAAGTAGGGATCTCGATGTCCAAGAAGTATTTCCATCAGCATGTCTCGTCAAGGACTCAATGGATTTTCCAGGTAGCCATCGCTTATCCAGGATTTCCGTGAATAGGTGATTCCGTGTTCACATAAGCCACGTCGCCATCGGAGTATTGAATCCGATCCACATAGCTGGTGGAGGGTAACAAATCCGAGTCCAGCTGGGCATCCAATGGATCGGAGTCCAACTCGGATTGAGAAGGGTCCCGAGAATCAGTCTCGTTATTCGCCAGTCGACTGGGAATTTCGTCGTCGTATGGCCTAGACCAATGGCCTTGGAATTTTTTCAGGCGGTCAACATTGATCGGTACAATTCGATCAAGATGAGATGGAAGGTAGATACGATACGTGTCGTCTCCTTGTTTGCTGTGGATCCGATACGGCCCGTGCCAACTACAGGCGAGCTTTTTAATCCGTTTGTCGTCCGGGTCGCTCGACTTTCGAAAGTGTTGATAGACCCACACGGAGTCTGCGGGTTCAAATTCAATCCTGGTCTGACTCGATTTCGTCCGAGCAGTCTTGTTTTGCCCATTGATAAGTTGTTTCTCTACCAAATGTCTGGTGGCTCGGAACAGGGCACTCTGTTGGCGTCTCCATTGTGGAAGTTCATCCGACTTCCAAGCCGGGTCTTGATTCACAAACACGAGGTCCAAGGGTTGCACCAGATCACGACCGAACAGACAAAAGTAAGGAGTATCGTTCAGGGTCTCATGGTAATCTGATCGGTATGCCCATAGCAGTCGAGGCAGATACGTATCCCAATCCGTCTGCAGGGAGTTAACGTACATTTTCATCATGGTCGCCAACGTGGAGTTGAATCTTTCGACAAGTCCTTGTCCTTGTGGGTGACTCGGGGCGCTCGCTAATTTGTCGATACCGAGTGTTTTGTAAATGTTCTTGGCCAACTCGGATGCCGAAGCCGAGTATAAACGACATGTTGGGGAAAACAATGTCTTCCTTCTACGATCTACAGATAAAGTCATTGAAACTCGAACACTAGGGTATACATTTTTCCATATAATAATATATTAGAAGATTCACGATTCTTGACGATATTTTTTTACACATAAAATTCAAGAAAAAAAATATTTCATACACAACATTTGATTGGTCTAAAAAGACCAATATTATGGAAAATTTTAACTAATCAAAATATTCTATTTATGAGAAAAGTTGTCCTCAGCTGGAGTCGAACCAAGGATCAATTCAAAATGACAGGTATGTTAAATTGGAGTCTATTTTTAGATGAGGCGATGCGATCCTACCTACGAAGACCTTGTTTTATCTAACCACACTTGAAACTTTCGATGAACCTCGACATATCAGACGGTCAGCTATTTACAGCCGAATGCGACCTAGCCTTGGCGAATACGCTGAAAATGTATTAGTCTGCTTTCGTAAAGAAAGCTTCAAAGCGAATTGTGATCGCATGTTGTCTACCGATGACGGGGCGGCCAGCGGGGCATCTTTCACAGAGATTACCGTAGAGCTTTCGTCACCAACGACGGATGACCAGGTTGTGCTGTCGACTGACAAGTTTAGCGACTCGTTACGTTTTGTGAACAAACTCTACAATCCAAGGCTTGGCAATGTGCCAAGCCTTGACAAATTTTATATCCACCAATGACGACATGAAGGTACCCGTCTGTAGCGATAAAGCGACTTGACAACTTCCTCACGCATTGTTAGGCTGGACACATTTTAAACGATCTCTTCACTTCCTTGTGGCCACACCGCTCGAAGTTTGAATTGCCCTACCACTTGCAGAATCGATATTGCTACGAGGACGAGCTGGCTGCAACGAGACAGACACTGTGGATTATTTTGGGTGCCGCCGTTGTTGGTATCGCGGCCGTCATGATGGCTGCACTGTGGTGCCCAGTGTAAAGAAAGTCGAGACGAAATTGAGTCACACTGCTCCGTCGATTTCAGTCGAGACTTCGTTGGGCGACATCGAGGGAAGTGCTTGTGTGATATCCCAAGACCACATTCGTTGATCAGGCCTTTGGCTCGTTGTGACCACCAGGTGATAATGGAGTCATTGAAGAACAATTCACACTCGTTGGGCAAAAGCGTACTACTACACAGCAAAGCGACCCCCGTATGCACGAGAATATCGTGGCCATTCAATGGGCCATATGATCTGAAATGTACCCAAAAGTGGCGCACGACGAGGTATAATACCTCGTCGTGCGCCACTTTTGGGTTTATGGGCGCACGTCAATCGTATGTAACCGCATGGAGGAGTGTTTTCGGGAAAGTTCATTTTGAATTTCCCATGTTGTGGAGCTGTCAACAGCAACATCGCCTCACATTGTACTGGTCTGTGATTGCGCCGGAGAAATCCAAAGCTCAAATTGAAGCGGAGAAATGGATTCTTGTCGTGCCATACGCCCCTGGCAAGTATTGCCTCCCGCTCTGCACGTTCACGTTTCAAAGGTGGATGCTCTTTGTCGCGTCGTTTGTGGCCCAGTTTTGCAACGGATCGCTCTACGCTTGGTCGATTCTCAATCCTCACATTGACGGCTACATACAAGGAAGATCGATGGATGCCATGCCAACACATGATGCAACTGGATTGAACAGTGCATTACCTCCTGACGAGAAGGCAGTCGTTGCTTTCTATATCGCGGCCGGCGTCCTTGGTTTTGCAGCAGCGCTCTCTGGACCATTCATCGAGCGCCATGGCCCTCGCCATAGCTTGATCGTTGCGCTTTGTCTCCTCTTTCTCGGCCACTTCGCAGCGTCTTTCTCAATACATTACAAGAGCTACGTTGGTCTTTACATTGGCTATGGCGTCTTTTGCGGTGCTGGCTTTGGCATCGGCTACATAGCTCCCGTGTCAGCTCTGATCAAGTGGTATCCTGACCTCCGTGGCACAGCTGGTGGATTTGCTGTCTGTGGATTTGGCCTTGGGGCTGCAGTATGGGGAGACGTGTACGAGCCCCTCATCGCAACCGTTGGTATTGACTGGTTTTTTCTCGTGTTCGGCGCCATCCTGTCTCTCATTCTACTCGTCTCGGCGTTTGTGCTACGGACTCCACCTCCAAATTATGTTGTCTCTGGTCGAAATGTCCATGGCGTGAAAGTGTCCGTGCCTCCAGCAGACTCGATTTGCGAGAAACTTGAAGGAAATCCCGAGAACACTGAGCGCGTCAGCATCGTCCTGGAGGATGAAAGAAAAGACCATTACATTAATGTCTTTGACTACCAAGAGCAAGAACTCGGCGAAGCAGAAATTCTCTACCACAACAAGATCAAGAACCTCCGAATACGAGAATGCGCCTTCTCCGTCGACTTTGCTTTACTCTACTTGGTCTTCTTTGGCGCCGTCGCGACTGGTATCATCTTGATGTCGCGAGTCTTCAGCATTGGAAAAGAGGTCTTTCTTCAAGAGGACGACCACTCGATGACACATTTGGTCATGTACTTGTCGATTTGCAACTTTTTGGGTCGCCTGCTGTGTCCGATTCTCTCCGATGCGTTCATTCGGTTCGCACAGCTCAATCCTGCATTTGGTCGAAAATTCGTCATCGGTCTGCTCTTGGTAGATCAAGTGGTCGTCTTAGCGCTTCTCAAGTCACTCATCCACGACCCGAGTGCATTTGGCTTGTTTCAAGTGGTGTTGTTCTTCCTCACCTTCTCCTACGGCGGTGTCATTGGTATCATCCCGTCGCTTTTGACGGACATGTACGGCGTGTACAACTCGGGGACCATGCATGGCATCATCCTCACTGCGTGGTCGATCTGTGCGATTGGAGGTGGTCTGACATTCCAGCACTATTTCTTCAAGATCAAAGATTCGTATCCGATGGAGCAGATGCGAGATGGGGAGATCGCAGCGTACATTTTCAACTTTCATTGGTTGCTGGTTATTGCTTGCATTGCACTTGCTTTGGTTCCTCTGGTGCGAACAAACCCAGTGGATCGGTTCTATCCAGGTTACCAGTACAGCATCTGTGGTCGACCACTCATTCGCTTCACGAAGAAGGATTATTAAAGAGAACTGCTTCAGTGACTAGCAATATCGTCGCACGAGCGAAAGCGTGTAGCGATCATGCACGTTCAAGAAACCCAGGTCTCTGCCTCGGTGTCATGGTGGAGTTGCCAGAGAGTTATTTGCCAAGCCGGCTTTTCAAAGATTTCAAGCGCTTGTAATGACAACGAACAGTAGGAATGGTTGGTAATCCATGAGAGTTTGAATCGCACTGTTGTGCTGGAGCACAGTGGACTCAAAGTGGTGTGGGAGGAGAGCAAATTATGGTCAAATTAAGGGCTCGTTATGCTTGAGCAATTCCACAACATCGAACGTTTGGGACGAATGTTCCACAACGTCGAACGTCTCTGATGATACAACCACCCCATTTCCACAAGGTCGAACACCACGAGATGATGCAAGATGATGGACATATTTATTCGAGGTTGGATGGCAAATGCTTTGAAAGAAGCCGTGTTGGATGACAGTATTGCAGCCATGGCAAGGCTAGGCGAAGAAACTCTGTCTACTTAGAAAAAGGCTTTTTTTTAGAAATCTTAAGAATTGTGTAACGAAAGTTCGTTTCGCAGTGTCTGTTGGTAGTGCAAGATGCCTTTCCAAAGCAGTATCACGGAAGAGCCGCTACCTGTCGTCGCACAATT